CTACAGTGAAATTTTGATGATGATAAACGCTGAAGAATTGAAGACTCTAAATGCATCTTTGTTAAACGCATTTTGTAGAAACAAATGTATAGGATAAAATTTAATGATGTAAAAAACTTAGAAGTTTTCATATTTAGTGGAGTCATTGCACAAATAATCGATTATCAAGAGGGAAATAATCGATTATCACGAGCCAGTTTAGAAGAGAGTTGCTTGCGCAAATAATCGATTATTACACAGAATAATCGATTATCACTGTTTCATTTAATTCTGTCCAAGTCTCTGGAATAATCGATTATTGCTCAGGATAATCGATTATCACCATTTTGAAAACCCCATAACGGACACAAATAATCGATTATCACTTATGATAATCGATTATCAGTGGCAGTTGGGAGATGTCTTTCAGTTTTTGACCCTGCACGAACCTAGGCTTATAAATAGAGGTCTTCACAACTCTTAAAAAAAACTTTTCAATTGAGAGTATTAGAGCTTTGGCCTAAGGGAAGCTCTATGTGAGTGAAAAGGATCTATGCCATTTGAGAATACAGTTTGTCTGAGGAAGTTCTCAAAGTGATAGAGTGCTCTTGCCTGGTCTGTGAATAGGAGAAGCTCGTTTGTGTGTCAAAGGTCGGAGCGGTTCTCTTCAAGTTGGCTGAGCAGGTTCTTCTGTTCGTTTGTCGAAGGAAGGTGTTTTCTATTCTTGCTTATTTTGATTATCTGATTGTAATCTGCAAACTATATTTTTAGTGAAAAAGGTTAATCACTATTTATATGATTAACGACTAGACGTAGAATCTTTGATTCGAACCAGGATAAAAATTCTGTGTTGATTTTCTGATCCCTAAACTCTTAGCCATATTTTAACTTGTGTTGTGATCACACGCTTTCCGCTATCTATATTTATTCCGCTGCGCGACTCTATAACGGTACCGATTGTTCCTACATTTAAACATTTTGCATTACTTCTTTGATCATTGCTAACTCATTGGCAAGTGTACCAAATCGTATCAAGTAATATAAAATGGTAAAACCAAGTATTGTTTCCCAAGAAGACTCGTGACACCAAACAATCGTATATAAATTAACTAGCTAAGACTAAAGAACAATTCCATTGAATGAAATTTAATGCAATAAAAGTAAACATAATAACTTGAATGTAAATGATCTTTTGAAGTTAAACAAGAATGAATGAATGGTATTGAGATTGATATGAGAGATGATTGTTGTGGGGTTAGATTTCACTACTTCACTTTCATGCATATTAGAACTCATCTTCTTCATTGGAATGCTAATGTCACTTACAAAATTACTTAGAACCCAATCCCTTGGTGTAAAAAGCCTACCCTTGATTATTAGACAGCAATCCCTTGAAACCCTAATAACCAATTCCGCATTAAGAAAAGAAGCTTAAGACAACTAAACATTCTATTTCTATCCCTAGATAATATTTTCTTTAGGTGAAATCCTCAAGATCATGGTTCTTAAGTATTCCCCAATAACAGAAAAATCCAATCATCAAGCTATAAATGGCCAAAAACATAACAAGCATTAAGAATAGGAGAAAATCACTAACATTCATCGAAAGAAGCATAAAATATTCAAAACATGTTCAACTACAAGTTCAGAGGTTACATCTTTCCCCAAAAACAAATGAATTTAGCTCTCCATTGCCATGGAGAACCTTGGCTTACAATGGAAGAATGTAAATGAGATGGAAACCCTAGAAAGAGAAAAGGAAAGCTCCTGCATGCCCAATCTTCCTCCAAAGGGTTGAAAATCGCGTTTCTGTGCTTTAGCCGTCCATAGATATCCACCCTAGTGCGTAAAAGCTTTTAAATAGATCAGAAGTGCCACATAAGCCAACGTCGATGGCGCTCAGCGCCCCAATTGGGGGCAACCAGGCGAGACTGCATGAAGAGTGGCGCTCAGTGCCCCTTGAGTGGGCAACCAGGCGTGCTACGGGATAACTGGCACTCAACGCCCCATAAGAGGGCAATCAGGCGTCGTTGCGTGGCCTCTAAAGCTCAGTGCCCCAGAAGAAGGAAATAGGCGTCCTTGTGCGACCATCAACGCTCAAGGCCCCTGAAGAGGCGTGGTTGTGTGGCAACCAGTGCCCAAGGCCCCAAAAAAGGGCAACCAAGCGTCCTTGAGCCTTCTGCAGCCTTCTTTTCTGGTACTTTTGTTGTCCTTCCAGAGTTCCAACTCCTTGATACTTTACTGCTCTTCCAAAACATACCAATAACCTACAAAATTGAGGGAATTAGTGATAAAAATCATTAAGTATAACCTCGACTAACTTATGCACAAAATTCAACTAAAAGCAAGAGTTTAAGCAAGCTTTACAGTCAAAGAGAGTTGATTTAGTATCAAAATTGCATCACAGATAATGGTAAAATCAATCGTTATCAATAACTTATTTCCACTTTAAAACACTGAACCAACTCTTACTACAATCTAAATTGAAATTCAAAGCTAGATCATCAAAACAAAAACTAATTTTTCAACTCTGCACTAGAAAAAATTGACCCAAAATTGGTGGTTTTAGAAGTGATTTCATGCATAAGTTACTCTGCTACTTTGATAACACTTTCAACAACTTTAATTCATCAAATTAAACTTGTTTGAACTCTAATTAAGTACAAAACCGAACTGCAACTCAGATTCACCCTTCCACTTCCTAATTTGACTCAAAATAGGTGGTTTAACATACTATTATGCATACAAGTAACTTGACTTCAAATGAATTGTTCTAACAACTTTAATACCTGAATTTAGACTTGTTACAACTGTCAAATAGCACCAAAATAGCACTAAATGAAAAATGACTTGTGATAACCCAATTATGCAGAATTTGCATCAACCACATCACCAAATTTCACTTTAAATGAATCAAAAGCTAAAGCAATAATGGAAATGACTCTAAGAGTTTCTAGTGTAAATACACTAGAACAAGCTAGAATTGGTCAGCTAGCAAAGTCAGAATTCAAACTGAAATTTCTAAGAGTTTTTGCACGGTGACAAGCAAGATTTATCATCAAAAACAACAAGGTGCTTCTAAATTTATGGTAACCAAACTATACTAATTGCATTTCATTGATTGTTTTCGGTTTATCATTTCATTAACTAAGCCCAACTAAATAATTAAGTAAGCCAAATACACAACTACTTTATATTATTTTCACTTTAGGGAAAAAAATTGTAGCATGACTATATTCTTACCATGTTTAATCAAGTGATAAATTCTCATAGAACTTATTCCGAGCTAAAATGCTGTATACATGAATGTTGTCTAAATGAAGACTTTAAAGGAAAGTAAACATGTGATCGTATATTTGGCGGTTTAGCGATAAGAATGCAAAATCATATAAAAAACTTTTAATTAATATTCATAAGCAAAATCTTTATTTATTTTTTTTCAAATTACTGAGACTAAAAAGATTAGTTTTTTAATCAAAAGAGGTATGAAAAAAAAACATCACAATGGTGACTACAATATGAATTAGGTTAGCACTCCAATAAATATCAATAATTATAATTTGCACCATATCTCAAATAATATTAAAAGTAAGAAAAAAAGAGTATAAAGGTGCGTAAACCACATTGAGACCCACCAAAACTAAGGTAAGTTTTACCTTCCAAATATTAATTTTAATTTTTGGAGGTTAAAAAAATAATTTAACTCTAAATTTTAAAGATCAAAATATTTCTTAAACTTTTATTTTTAAAATGCCGCCAATTCACATATTTCTTCGATATTTCTATCATGGACATAATATGATGTAATTTACGTTTGTATATATTTTCATATATTTTTATTTCTCAAGGTATAGAAATAGTATTCTATAATTAATTTTAACTTTTAAATAATATTCTTTAAATATATTTTGACTTTTACATAATATTCTTTCGATATTTTTGAACTTATACATGATATTCTTTAGATATTGTTGAACTTATGTCTGTTTACAAACTGTTTAGTGTATGAGATGTTTTACTTTGTGGCTTTTTCTTTTTCCATGCATATTCATAAATTCTAAACAGGGACTAAATAAAATAATGTTGCAAATTTGCAAGGATTGAATATAAAAGTTACAATTTGATTTGAGGGACTGAGTTTAAAAGACTTATTACTGGATTTTTTTCATATTTCATGAATTTTTCCTTGCAAATTTGTTATAAACTTTTTAAAAATAAAACGTTTTTTTTGTTATTTTTTCTATGAATTTTAATTAGCAGGTAAGTTTTCCGTGAAAAATGTTTTGTGCAAAATATTTTACAAAAAAATTGGTAGCAATTTCTTACAAAATTATTATTCATAAAAAAATTTACAAGCATTTTCTAAGAAATTGTTTTTAAAAGAAAAACTTTGCAAGAGAAATAAGAGTTTTTTTAGTAGTGACCGAAACATTTATGGAAATGAAATATTGTTTTAACAATTTGACCGTGAGGTGACTTTCATGCTACTATAATGTGACTCTTACAAGAGTGAATTTAACATTCGAGACAACTTGTTATAAAACAAATGAACGGGGAGGAAAATTGATCATAACATTTTATAGAGTAAAATAGATGACATATTTATAGTGGCAAAAACTTACTAAAACAAAATGATCTAATTGGAGAACTAAGACAACTCCACAGAATCTTTAAGGTTACCACAGACATGCGTTGACACATTATTTTGAAATTATTATTCAATTATGTTTGGTCGTGGAAAAAACATAAAAATTACGGTACGACTTTCGAATTCTGAAGGCGCACACGATAATTGTCTTCTGAAACCACACATATTCATTTACAAAAATATTAGAAAAAGAAAAAAAAAATATGTGAACACGTAGATGACATTTACTGAAAAATAAAATGAGTAGATATGACATTGGTAATTACTAATGCAAGCAAAAGGATTTAGAGCCGTTCATGCATGCTAACAAATTTGTTATATAAATATAAACATTGCAAAATAGGTCAACTTTAGTTTAGGTGTTCTCATTCGAACAAGGTTCTATGTCCCCTAATCAAACTCTCTCCAACCATCAATAACCGTATTTCCCTCTCATTCTTCTCTCCATATTATCTTTTTTGTTCCTTTTCCATAGCTTCTTCTCTGAGAGACTCAAAACTCAGCCAGCAGCCGAAAATGTCAAAGGCGGTGGTTTATATCCTAATAGCCACCGCCGTGTTGCTCTACAAATGCTTGTTCCCGTTGAGCCAAGATGAACCAAAGGGTAGTCTTAATCGCAGGTTTGGGTACAAGCTACTTGAACGAGCACCCAACTTTGACCCTCTTGTGGCAGATATTGAGAGAGAGGTTGAAAAGAAAACCACACATTCGGAACCTGTTCCTCGTACGTCGACCACTTTGGACACTACCACGTCGCCGAATGATGTTTCAGGGACATACCGATATCTTACATCTGGCGGTAAATTGAACACCACGTTAAGGTTGATCATCTTGTTCCCTTTGTTAGATAGAGAACCCAAAGATGGGGTGGTTGGTTTTGAAGAGTTAGAGGCATGGATTACTCAGCGAGCATCAGAGAGATTAGATTATCTCACGCAAGCAGAGCTTGATTCCAAAGACAAGAATGGGGATTTAGCCATTTCTTTTAAGGAGTATTTACCTCAGTTTTCTGAAAAGCGTATAGGTAATATAATATGTTTTTTTTTTTTTTATCGTTGGGTTTTAAATTTCTTCTCTTATTCAACCACCTTCATCCTTCATGTTTCATGTCACTTACTCAGGGAGATACGTAATACATAAATTAATTTTATATTTTTTTAATTCAATCCTTGCTTTAACCCTTTTATTAATTGAATGATGTTGCTTTGGTCATTTTTCCTTTTTGTCTTCTTGTTAAAATTATGTAGGTTATCTATTTTTTTTTTCACTTAAAAACCAGCGATGATTGATAAATTTGACGTTGAATTCTTTATGCTAAAACAGAGGAAAACAAAATGCTGCATGGCGAAGCAGGATGGTGGAAAGAAAGATTTGAAGTTGCAGACGTTGATCACAATGGGCTTCTGAACTTCACCGAACTTAGAGAGTATAAATAATTGATCACTTTTTTTCTTTGACTTTCTCCTTTCTCTTTTCTATGTTGTTTTAAACATTTATTTGTAGGTTACATATATAATGTTGAAATTGTCTACATTTCTACGATGAAATTTAGCTGAAGAAATTTGTCTCCTTTTGCAGTTTTTTGCATCCAGAAGATAGCGACAATAAAGAAACGCTAAAGTGGATGTTGAGAGATAGGCTAAAGTAAGCCTTCTTTTTTTTTAATTGAAATTGAAAGTAACTTGTGATGGTTAAATATCTTTTTTAGGGTTAATGAATGAAGTTCAATTTTATGAATGATGTTCTCGAAATTCCTGTATATACACATTGACTTAGCTTATATTTTGTTTTGTTTATGATATAGGCGCAAGGACGATGAAAAAGATGGGAAAATGAACTTTAATGAATTTGTAGATCATGTATATGATACATACGAAACATATATGACCTTCGAAACTCATGGAGGATCGATACCTTCTCCAGAAGAGGAATTTTTCCAGCTTGATGTAAACAAAGACAAGTGAGTTTTCTTTCCTGCCTAAAGTTTTTGAAATAATTATTCAATATTTGAACTGTGTATTCGTATTATATATGCTAACAATAAGATTTTGTGTTATTATGAATTATTGCTCCTGCTTATTATCAAAATTTACTTTTGCTATATATTTGGCAGGTTTTTGTCACCAGAAGAATTGATACCAATACTTTCTTATATCTACCCTGGCGAGCTAGCTTATGCTAAGTATTTCACATGCTTTTTTATGAATGAGGTTAGTTCCCTATCCATAAAGACATATTTAAGTGAAATACAAAAGAGTCAAATACAAAAATTCAAAACAATTTCTTAAGAAATATCGTTCATTAGAACTTGGTGGGTGAAAATAAAATTATCATTGAATAAATGGTGTTTTGAAAGTGATATTAATTAAATTTATTTATATTTAAATTCACTCTAATTGACAATTTTTTTATTTATATTTAGTTTCAGAACTATTCACAAATTCCATTTATATCTCAACACGCTGACAAATATATGCATTGACAGAAGGAGAAGGTAGCTGATATGTGAGATTTTTTATTCTATTTGATGCAGGCTGATGATAATGGAGATAGAAAGTTGACACTAAAAGAGATGCTTGATCATGAATCTGTTTTTTACAGTACAGTTCATGCAGATGGCCACCAAGAAAGTGACGATGAACATGATGAGCTTTGATGTATGAACCAAGTTACCAGAAAAGTTTTACGTATTTCAAATAGCAATCTAGCTGTTCTCCTTATTTATTTTTTCTCTGTAATATAGAACTCAAACACAGTCATTTTTTCTATTTTTCACAGGACTCATGATTAACATTTTTAATTTGTCTTCGGGCATTATTGTGACAAAATTTACTAATCCTAATCTAAACATTCACTTTTAATTATTAAACCATGATTAATGAAAAATGTTGGGTTTTCACTATGGAAAAACATAATAGAGATTTACATTTTATACAAGAAAATAAAGACACCACTTCCAACCTAACATTTTAAGACAATCAAATCTAACACTTCAAGACATTAGTTGTGTGAATATTATTTGTTTTTCTCATTCCTAAAAGTTTTTCACTTGCAAGTTTCTTCCACATACTTTCCCAAGAGCAACAAGTTCTGAGGTAGAGAACCCGAGCGGGTGGTTATGCTAATAGTAGTAGATTTTGCAATAATTTGGTCTTTTCGTTGCACTCACAATTGCCGAAGAAGATGAACATGTCTGGAAGGATGAAGGAGAGGAGACACTCGGGGGGCAACAAAGGAGCTTTAAACGATAATGGAAGTCTCATTTATGTGTATGAGTTAATTTTTTTTTAACAACTTTTTAACAATAGATTATGTATTAATATTTTATTGATCCGTATATTTGAAATGGATCAATCACAAGTTATAACACAGGTGATTGTGAAAAAGTTGTCAAAAAATTATTTTCCTTCCTATTAAACTGTTTAGTTAGATAGAATTGTATAGTTGGATCTGATCTACTTTACCACTTAAAGCACATTCTAGTGTTTAGGAAAGTGACGCGATGAGCGTGATAAAGAATAGAAACAAATATTACAAACTAATCCACAGCATTATGAAAATTCTAGATCTCTTACTATAATTTCCCTAAAGAAATAAAATAAATTATTATATTTATTTAATTTCAAAATTTTATTTTGAAGTGTTTGAACATTGCAAGTGATGTGAATTCGTGAAAATTCCATTCCTATGCATGCGTAAAGCATTTGATAACATTTTGTTGTTGCTTGTAAGAATAGCATTGTAGGAGTATCGATTGATTATGAAGCAACACTATTTTATATTACGAATTTACTTTTTTTTTTAATTTTCTCTCTCAGTCACTCGAATTAAATCTCACCAAACATATGCTTCGACTTAAACAAAAATGTTGAAATAATTAACAACCAAATTTTTCCATATATTGAAAGCAAACATTTTATTTTATCAGCACTGACAAAGCAAACTCTAAAACTGACTTTCATTCTCTAATCGATTGATGGGCCAAGAAGAAAAGTAAAGGCAGAATCATCAACTGAGCACCAAAAATGTTTGGTTTGGAGTTAAGATTCATATTCATATTCAAATTGAAATTACTTTAAATAGTTTCAAATTTTAGTTACATAATTTTCGTTTTTCGTATTTGAAATGAAGATATAGAACTCTGAATGTTAAATCAAACTATTTAGCAGGATATTGTAGTTTATTTACTGCATTTGTAGTCATATATATGTTATAAATAATGTCACACTTTTATTCAAGTGGACACAGTTTAAAACAATTATATGACATAAAAAGACACATCATGCTATGGTTGATGACGGTGACATTGATGATTGTGAATATCTACAAACTCTAGCTTCCTTGTAGACAAGGCCATGGCTGCAGTAAAACCCTTTTTGTGGGCTGCAATGTCTGTCTTCGCTACATATGCAGAGTCCCTCCAACGCACACCCATCAACTTTTTCTGATTCCTTCCCATAAAGTATAGCATCAGACCATTCACTGGAGAACACATTTTGAGGATCCATTTTTTGTTTTGCTGCAATGAACATGTCAAACTTTGGATACTTATGCTGCACCCCTAGGAATGCTACATTCCTATTCTTAGCCCAATGTGGCTTAGCCCCATACTTGAAGAAGGCCAATTGCTCCACTTCCTCCAACAGATCTTGGGTTAGTCTAGGATTTGAAGGGTCGTTTGCACGATAATAGTTGAAATCAACCACAACTGAGTCCTCAGGTTGCCCTAGATATGCACTTGAGGCTTTGATGAAGCGAATTAGCAACCCGTTATAGTTGTCCACCCCACAGAAATTTTCTGGTTTTAGGTCTCTCAGTTTTCTCACGTCACGGACGAAGTCTACAAATGCTGATGCAGGGAAGATTGCAGTGCTCTCATAGAAAAATAGCCCTTTGATTCGTGGATCCCAAGCACATGATGTGTCAAATCTTGTTGAATATAAGCATGAACCTGAAGTTTGCATTTTGCCTTGGTAACCCACTACAGGGTAGCCGCTGAAGATTTGGCCATTGTTCTTCAACCCATTTCCTACTAATCTCTTGAAGCCCAAAGTTGTAGCTGCTGTTAAGCATTTCCCATTCGTGTTTCTCGTACTCTCTAGTAGTTTTTCTGCATGTGGTTTTTTTTGGTAAAATAAGAAAAAGATTATTAAAGAGACTAAACTTTCCTTATCTAAATTCTCACACAATTATATCAATTTCCATTTTATTTAACTATATTTAAAGTATTACGTATATTATTATTATTATTACTTTTAATTAAACACAGGTCATCATAACTTAGTTCTTAAAAGTTTTATATTTACAATTCTTCCAAAAATATATATTACAATCTTGTAATGACGTTCACCTTATTTTTTCAAATAATTTATTTTCCCATCTGTTATTTCCCCCATATTTGCTGAATCCTCCATTATTTTTAGACCAAAAGAAAATTCAGTTTGAAAAATCAAATTCTGACTAGTTTCCAAACTAAGCTGCACCCATTTCACATTGAAGAGAATAAAGGTATTTTCTTTTATCAGTAAGAAAGTAAAGTGTATAATTTGTATGAATAATAAAAAGATAAAATAAAAATTGTGCTTGCTTGAAATTTGTAGGAAGTAGTGGAGAAAATAGAACAAATACCTGCTGCTCTAACAGATTCTGATATCAAGATGGAATTGGGTTGAAATCCAATGAAGTCATTAACTCCATCACCGGAGGCATTTAAGGGAACCCTGGAATCATATCTGTACACCACTGTGTGCCTTGATGGATACCAAGTTATATCTGCAAATTCATACTTTTTCGCATGCTCTACGTATACATCTTCGATCGCATCATCTTTTTCTGAGAAATTGTATCTTATGCTTCTTTTGAACCTATGCTCGATTGATAATTTTACCTGCACTTCAACATTCATATTAATTTATTAAACTTTACCCACTATTGGTAAAAGTAAATTATTTTTATTGTTCAGTTGGGTTGCATCAAGTTGTGGATTTTTTAATTCACTAAACATGATTCAAAATAAAATTCAGCACGATCAAAAATCTAAAATTAAATAAAATATAATTAAATTAGGGTAGAAAGTTCACGAGATAATTCACCTCTTACAATCCTAAGTATAAACGGTTTAAAAAGTTGAAATATTACAAAAGTGGGTTTTATAACCATACATATTTAGTATTAAAAAGTAAATTAAATTATATGGCTGTTTAAAATATGTTATAATGATGTCGCTGTATTTACGAAATTTTTACTCTACACGCTAGTTATATATTAGTTCATTATTTAAAAACTCCTAATTATTGTGAAAAAATATTTAATTAAAATAGTATATTCAGTTTCCAACCTCGTATCATCATTAATTGAAAAATTAAAATCTCATACATAATTTACCTTTAAAATACCCAATTATTCAAAATTGGATATTTAATTACATAGATCACCTAACATCTAACTAAAATGAATAAAATCACACAAAATAATTTATACTTAGATAAATCGTATAAGCCGTTAATTTGACATTAATGATTTTAATTAAATATTCTCACTTTTATTATTATAATTAAACATATGCAAAAGTAAGTTCGGGAAAATATATTGTGCTTAAATATGTAATCAAGAATGATTATTTCCACAAAAACAAAAAAGAAACGTTAAGAAATAGAAATACATAAAAAATAAAATTGAATTTTTAATTATATGCCAACAGTAGAAATGTGAAAGAAAGTACTTTGAAAAGTGAATAATTTAAGTCAATTAATAGATAGTAAGATCAGAAGAATAAAAATAAATGAGAGATAAAAAAAAGGGTTTTAACAATTTTTCTCTTCCCTCTTTTCTAAATCAAATAACTAATTATATTTTCCTCAACAAAACTAAATATTCAGAGGCCAAAACACTATTCAATCAAATTACATAATTTTAAAATATTTGTTCTATTTTTACTTGTTTTTATTCTATTAAATAAATAAATAAATCATTGAATTTAATTTATTTATTAATAATATTTTTGTTTATATTTGTTTCGTTTTTATCTTTCATAATAAAAATAAAATTAATAGCATTATATACTTTAAAGACCACAAATAAAACCATTCTGCTTAACCTCATTTCTTCTCAATGTTATTAAACCCCAATATAGTATTGAACCGTGGAATTATTGGAACAATAAATCACTAATTGAATTAAATACATGAATTAATATAAATTTTAAATGTGCATAAAAAGTTATACAGGGTACTGATTATTTGACACAATAAATGCTTATAAAACTTAGAAACATGTTACTTTTACACTTAGTAAGTTTTCATATGTCACTTTATTTTTACTATTTTAGTTTTTCTTTTCTTTTTTATAAATATAAAAATTTACTATTTTAAAGAGCATATTACTC